TCAAAGAACACACTCAAGTAAATTTCTTGTGCATTCAAAGAGAACTGTCAGTTTTTAAGAATCATTTGAGAGTAGTTTGTTTACATTAAGTCATCCTACCCCTCATTACTAGCGTTAATGAGCCTACTTGGGTACCACTTGTGGATAACGTGAACGAAAGTGAATACAATGAGCTTTTCGATTTCGACGATGAAATGTGGGAGGATACTGCCGAAAGTACCAATCAAGACGCTGCTGATGCAGAGGACTGGCAGCTGCTTGGAGTTTCTGCAACAACCTTAGAAGACTAATCATTAATGATAAATCAATAAAAGAATGATAATATAAAGATTTATCTATAAAGTAATATCAATATGAAACTGCTAAGACAAAAATCATAGATTTTTTATAGAGTTTCGAAGGTTATAAGTTCTTTCTCTAGAGAAATAACCAAAGAGTCGCGTTCGCAAGTCATGACTTGAGAACTTAAGGAGAGAGCAAGTTACTCCCGTAACTTAATATCCTCATTACCATTCCGGGGGGTATTTTAATCAATAAAAGATATATTTATTTATCATTAAAGGTTTTAATCATTAAATGATTTATCACTCAAATGATATAACATTATATATTTTATCTTTTTTAATCATTAATATTTTAAAAGTTAATAATCAAAAAAATAAATTTTTTTTCATAATAAAAAGATAAACGATTAAATAAAAGAATTTTCATTAAAATAAATAACATTAAAAAAGATATATCTATTTTATATTATTTTTCTATTAAAGAAATATATAAAGATATATCATATAAAGGTTATATCATTTTTCATATAAACTTTAAACTATAATCTTTACAAAGTTAAACATATAAAAGATTTATCTATAAAAAAAGATTATTCCCCTTATCTTTAAAAAGTTATACCCCTTAAATGTTTCATATATGAATAAAAGTTTATTCATTTTAAATATGAAACATTAAAAAGTCTTTTAAAAAAAAGATTTATATTTTTAAAGTTTTAATATTAAGGATAAATCATTATCTATTTATGTTCTCAATTAAAAAAGGTAATCATAATATAAAGGATTTGTATCACCTAAAAGATATACCGATCAGCTAAAAAGTTTATCTTTTTAAGATATATCAATAAAAGATGTATCTATAAAAGTTAAAAAAATTAAAAGAAAAAGAAATATCAGAATTTTTCCTCCCACCCTTCCGCATGCTACCCATGCCCAAAAATTCTGATATTTCAAAAGAATTTAAAAAAGATATATCAAGTTTTTTCTTTTATAAAGTTTAAACCCTTAAATGTTTCATCCTAAAATATTTATCTTTTATTTTTTTTATCATTAAAAAGATAACTCATTATGTTCAGCTAGGCATCCACCCTAAAGGGGCCCTCCATCAGCTTCACATTTAACCATTAAAAGATATTAATTTAATAAAGATATTACATATTTCTGCTAATTTCAATAGAGAAATATGAAAAGAAATATCTATCGAAGACTAATCATTAATGATAAATCAATAAAAGAATGATAATATAAAGATTTATCTATAAAGTAATATCAATATGAAACTGCTAAGACAAAAATCATAGATTTTTTATAGAGTTTCGAAGGTTATAAGTTCTTTCTCTAGAGAAATAACCAAAGAGTCGCGTTCGCAAGTCACGACTTGAGAACTTAAGGAGAGAGCAAGTTACTACCGTAACTTAATATCCTCATTACCATTCCGGGGATGTTTTAATCAATAAAAGATATATTTGTTGATCATTAAAAGTTTTAATTATTAAATGATTTATCAATCTAATGATATAACATTTATATAATTTATCTTTTTTAATCTATATCTTTTTTAAATTTATTTATAAAATAATAAACTTTAAATGATTTATCAATAAATAAATAAAAAATAAATAAATAAAATAAAAAGAAATAACTTTTAAAAAGATAAACTATTTTTTCTTTTCTTTTTAATATAAGAATAATTAAAGGATATATATTATAAAGGTTTTTAAATTTTTCATATAATTTTTAAGCTATAATTCTTACAAAGTTAATCATATAAAAGATTTATCTATAATTAAAGTTTATTCTTCTTAGTAGATTCTGCCACCAATTTGAGTCTTGAGTGGAGAGATGGTGATGACTACCTTCCAGACTATAGAGGTGTGATTGACTTATTTCTTCTAGTTTGTTTGTTGACTGGTTCATCTTCTTACTGCAGTCGTTTCCAAATACAGGAAATGGCAAAAAAACTGCACAGCGCCGTCGTAGAAATGCAAGAGAGCTCGCTGCATTGGGTAAAAAGCATCGAAAAATAACAGAGTTCTTTGCTGCGTCATCGACCACCGATCCATCGTCATTGTCAGCTGCAGATGAAGCCTTGATCGTTCTCGAAGATCAATCGCTAATGAAGGAGAGACATGCGGCTTTGCAACAACTGATGCAGACCAGCCGAAACCAGCAGTCGCCATCAGGCCAAATGAAGCCATACGATGTCCTACGGTACAATTGTGTCTTGCAATTCCTGGGATATCTAATCGAGCACCAAGGCCAAAAGAAACAGAAAATCGTCGAATCTGAAAGAATTGCGAAACAATTAGGTGGTGGTTCCATACAGTATTTGGGTCGGGCAATCAGATCGTGGACCAAATCATATGTTCTCACTAGCAAAGTAACTGCTCATCGCCAAGGCAAGCATTCTAAGCGAATTTCTCTGCTTGCCGATGAGGATATCAAGCTTGCAATTTGCAAGTGGATCAAAGAGCAGCCCCCACAGCAAAGAAAAGTGGAGCTGATCAGAAAAAAACTGCAAGAAGATATCATCCCACAAAAGCTCGGTGTGCCGGTGTCGATTGGTGAAAGAACAGTTGCGAGAGCTTTGCACTTGTGGGGATACAAATTCCGAAGAAATATGAAGAATGTACGTATGAATGCTTTTTACCATTTGACTATCAATATGCATTGAGTGGATATATCGGTTGAACGGATTTATAAGTTGAGTGGATGTACAGATCGAGCAGATATTGTAGGCTGAGCTCAGATTCTTTTATAGGTTTTTTACGATGGTCACGAAAGAGATGATGTGGTGAAATATAGAAAGGAATGGACCAAGAGAATGCTGACATACGCCAAAAATATGGTCACATACACTGGCGAGAGTATGGAAATCGAGTGTGTTCCGGACACTGTACGTAATGGCGATACCCGTTATGTGCTAGTTACACACGACGAATGCATTTTCTATTCGAACGACGGTGTCAAATCTGCATGGTTCACTGAGGAAGAAACCGTTTTGACACCTAAAAGTCAAGGTCAATCAATAATGATTTCTGATTTTATGTGCTCCTGCCATGGATCGTTGAAGATTGATCCAGATGATGAAAGATTTGGTGATCTCCAATTCAAGGAATCCAGAGCAATCTTCTATCCTGGCGCGAATAGGGACGGCTACTGGACTAGCATGAATATGGTGAAGCAGTTACGCGAGCGAGCCATCCCGATCTTCAATGCACTACATGGAGACGATTGCATTGGTATGTGCACGTGAAGGGAGAATATTATATATTACTTGATTTTGAGTTTTTAACGATCGTAAGTAGCTGTTTTCTGCTTCGACCAGAGTAGCAATCATAACGCGTTTGCACCAGATGCGTTATGCGTTAATAGAATGAGTCTGCATCCCACAGACGCGGATGCCGATCCTGGCAACCATTTTAAGTCCGGATGGTTTTATACCGAGCTCTCCGGGTATGGGAGGGTACCAAAGCCGCAAAACATGTATTTCAAAGATGATAATGGACAACTGAAGTTCAAAGGCATCAAAAGAGTAAGTGATCATATTTTTTTAGCTTGAAGCTAATGCCGATATATATGTTTTCTGTGCACCAAGATCTTGTCCTGTATCTATCATTTATAAAATGGTTTAGATCTTGCAAGAGCGTGGCGCATGGATTCCTGGTCTATTGTTGACATGTAAGAACAGCCCTGGTACATCTGATAGCTGCTGTTGCGCTCGTCATCTTCTTGGGTCCCATCCTGATTTTCGGAGACAGGTGACAGCTCTTGCAAAAACTGTTGAAAATGCTGGCCATGTATTCGATCTGTACCCCAAGTTTCATTGCGAATGCAACTTTATTGAAAGATACTGGGGTGCTGTAAAGAGAATTGCCAGGGAAGAATGTGATTATAGCTTCAGATCCCTCTCCCAAAACATTACACAATATTTAGATAGCATTCCTTTAGCTATGATACGTCGCTTTGAGCGAAAAGCATGGCGCTATATTGACGCATATGAGAAAGGACTCACTGGACGAAAAGCAGAAAAAGCCGTGAAGAAATATAAATCCCACCGGCGAATTTTCGATATTGATGATCTCACAGACGAAGAATAAATACCGCTAGCTAAAAATAGAAGTTTATAGAGGCGGAAATTAAAAATTTTGAAATGTCCACTTGTCGTTTCTAGGTGGCAGGCACCATAGTATAATAAAAGGTGATAAATGTGGGTGAAATGCTAAGTATTAAGCAAAAGAGATGAAATAGAAGTGTAGGAGTTCAACAACCAGGAATTATTACGTCTAGAGCCACAAAAGACAATCCTTTTGATAGGAAAGGGAAAAGCTAAAGTTAAGAGAAAGAGAAGCTAAAGAACTGACCTGTTTATTATTCAATACAAAATATTGGTCTATTTATACTAATTCTAATACACTATCTATATCTAATATAATTGGTGCTTGATCCAATGGATACCGCAGTAGTGCGAAATGGTTTTGCACCTGGTGTGAGTTGTTTTTGCACTCGCAGTAAGAGTGGTGTTGCGCAGTAAGCGTATTGTTGCAGGTGTGAGATAAATTTGCACTCATAGTTACACCAAGTCTGTGATGAAAATGATAGAGAGTAAACTGACAGATAGTGATACAAGTAGATTACAAAGCCAATACTAAGGGGAAGAGCCCGTTTATTGATTTGAATGTATTGGGGACAACAAGGTAGGTTACATATCCTGGGCCCCTTAAGGACGCACGTCCTGGGCGAAAGCAAACGTATTTGTAGATGACAAGGTATTGTAGTAACTATGTATAAGAGCGTGGAGCTTAGAATCACCGGTGATGTAGGTGTCATGTATGTGTTGTTTAAGATACACGCGGATGGCTCCTTGGCGTTCTAGTTCGCTCGGAATTCTTGACAGTACTATGGCTAGATAGTGTGCGATACGATTTGCTAGTAAGTGGCGGTTGGTGTCGAGATCCTCCTTTAGCTGTTGTTGCCAGAGGTGTAGTGACACGCAATCTTGTATGAGATCGTAGTAAAGGCCCATCTCGGCTCAGCGGTTCCGAGCTTCTGGATCCAATGCGGGTGGTACAAATTCCGGGTCAACTGAACAATACTCGACTTGTCCATTGTTGTTTAGGACCAAGCGAGGATCAGGCGCGTCGGTATTACCTCCCCAGGGTGAGGGATATTGCTGCAGAGCCGGTTGTTGGGTGTTGTTTGTTGTATCTGGTGTCGTGTCGAGTGAGTGCGGTGTAGGTTCGCCGTGAACCCAGGCAGGGGTGCTGTTGACCGAGATCGCATCCGGGAACATGCCCGAAAAGTCCGGAGTTGTAGGTTCGTAGGGTGACGAAAAGAGGGACATGCTAAGGCTGTTTAGTGTGGTCTAGGTATTATATTTTCTTTGGTTTCATTCACAGATTCCGGGGTATTTATACTTTAGATTAATGGTGGCCCGAATGAAGTGTGAAGTGATTTTGCACCTTCCTGGTAGTGATGTGTGAAATGTTTTTACACTTGTCGGGTTATCGAGGTGTGAAAGGATTGTGCACCTTCATAATAGCGAGGTGTGAAAAGATTGTACACCTTCGTGTACTTGTGGGGTTGGAGCAGCTCGGTGTACTTGTGCCACCAGCTCCAAATAAGCTTTGTGGGGCACTTTGACAGGTTGTTGTGGCTTGATTACTTGTTGATCAAATGACGAGTTTGAAAGTGTATATGATGTTAATTTTTTATTTTTATTTTTATTTTTATTTTTATTTTTTTTTTGTTTTGTTTTGTTTTGTGTTATTGATTATCTTCTATTATATGTATAAGGTGCAAGTCAGCTAGAAAGGTCCTTATGAGCCCCGACTTTAAACCTTAATAAATTTTCATTAACACACGTGATCACCGCAAACGATAGTGGAAACGAAAGCTTTTGAGGAGAGGAACAAAATCCACTACCACTGATTTTTTTTGCTCAAAAACTGGCTGAGCAATTAACGTCTGAAGTTTCCTTATTTGGTCACTTTTAGCTGGGCAACTTAGCATTTTAGCACCTTACTTCCATACCATCCCTCTATACATTACTTAAATTAGCTTTCATTGCACCAATTCAACATGGCCAGACCGAAAAAACGCTCCAGAATTGGCAAATCTAACTATGTTGAGGGCAAACGCGCCAAACAGATACGAGTAACGCAAGTGGCAGAGCAGGAGTCGACACAAGATCTCGAAGAAGACGCGACTGTCAGCGATGTCGAGGATAGTGAAGAAGAAATCACGGAAGACGACGAGAACGAAGAATACGACTTGGAGATCCCTGAGGTCGACCTTGTCAGCGTGGAAAAAAGCCTGAGCGACGCGTTAATGTGGGTTCCTGGCGCTGATAAGAAAGGACGCAACACCTATTACGCCAAAGACTCAAAGCGCACAGTTAAAAAGGCTGATGAAAAGAGAGAGAGAATGCAGCGAGGCTGCCTACGCATGGATGAGATGTTTTGGCAAAAGAGGGTCGAGATGAAGATCAAGAAAGAAGAGGAAAAGCGGGCCGATGACGACAAAGTCGAATCAGCAATCGCAGCGCTTAGGCCTTATGCAGACCTATATCGAAAAACGCCTGATGTTGATCGTTTGCAGAGAGCGCGTTTCGCCACTTTGTATCACTACTTTACGATGATATCACAAAAAGAGGAGAAGACAGGCGCATCTGAGAAGCTGAGCACGCTGCATTGGAATCGTGGTCAACGGTTTGCGAAAAGGATCCGAGGTTGGGCGAACGAGTATCTGAGAACCGGGAGATTGACACCTTTTGTCAAAGGACCCCACATCAAGACCGCGTCTATGCTTGCTGACGAGCATATTAAGGACAAATGCGTTGCTTTTTTCAGGTCAATAAAGCCCGAAAAGAGAACAGTTATTGCATTGCGAGAGTTCATTCTACATGACCTCGTACTAGATGAGGCCAACCCTGAACAGCGCATTGGGATTGCCGTATCTGAATCCACCGTACGACGATACCTTAAGAAATGGGGGTTTAAAATCGAAGACAAAGCCCAAGCGCCATACATCGACGGTCATGAAAGAGAAGACGTCGTAATTTATCGCAAGGAATGGGCAACGAGAATGCTTGAGCACAGAGAGCTTATGACGAGGTATGATGAGGATGATGAAGCAGAACGAGCGGTTACCAGGGTTTGGGAGCATGAGAAAGTACTGGTCACACACGATGAGACCTACTTCTACGCCAACGACTGCAAGCGAGGCGTGTATTTGGCTTCCAACGAGAGCCTGATCAGAAAGAAAGGTTAGGGCCGTGCAATCATGCTCAGTGCTTTTGCTTGTTCCTGCCATGGTCTTTTTTCATACAAGACGATCATTCCTGGCGCTCAAAACGACGGCTATTGGAAAAAGACCGACATGGCCAACCAGCTTGAATCAGCAATAGAAGAGTTTCAAAGATTGCATCCTAACTGCGTTGGCGTTTTCTGCTTTGACCAGAGCTCCAACCATTCTGCAATGCCCGATGATGCGCTTAATGCGTACAGAATGAATATGAGCCCGGGCAGAAAACAGAATGTATCAAGAAACGGCGGTTACTATGGCAACAACGGAGAATGGATTGTGCAGCCGATGGTGGATGCTAATGGTGTGCCTCGGGGACTTCAAGCCATACTCAAGGAGAGGAACCTTTGGCCCGCACAGGGATTAATCCGTCATTGCAAGCAAGAGAAAACTGTCAATTGCTGCGCAGTACATATCGTAGCCTTCCAACCAGATTTCCAGCAGCAGAAGTCGCTCTTGCAGGAAATTTGTGAGAAGCATCACATGATATTCGAGTTATATCCCAAATTCCATTGCGAGTGTAACTGGATCGAAAGAGTGTAGGCCGAGATGAAAAGCATCACTCGGCGCGAATGTGACTATTCTTTCTCATCATTGCAACAACACGTAAAGGACCTTCCAAAACGCATTAGCATCAAGCACATGATCCATTATGAGAATCGTGCCTGGAGGTTTATCGAGATGTACAGCAGAGGTCTCGACATGCGTCATACTGAATGGGCAGTGAAAAAGTACAAGAGCCATCGTCGCCTCCCCCCAACTTTAGATTTCTCCGATTTCCAATAAAGGCAATTCCAAACTTTATTTTAAGATTTTTTTTTGCATCTGAGGGACCTTTCTAGCTGACTTGCACCTTAGTGATGTTGACGACTATGATATAAAGAGGTGGGGCGATGGCTCGTTGTTGAGTTTTCGTCGTTTGTTGGGATTTGTGTCGTCTTCTGGAAAATGCTTGTTCAATAGATTACGAAAACTCTTGCCTCGTGCCAGTTGCGTCATTGGTAAGTCGTTGAGTTGGTAAATGTCACATAAGTTTTTATAGCGGTTTTGTGCATTAGCGCATTTATTGCGTAAATGCGGACTATTCTGGATTACTTGATACAGTGTTTCGGCCGTCTTGATTCTATGTGCGGGTAGTCGAATTCTGGCCTCTTCCCATTCTGCCAATTGTCGAATCATCTGTACCAGATCGGCTGGCAAGATGTCATCCAGGGGGGCTCCCAAAAACGCCAGCACCTGCTGGATGTCGAAGGTGGTCGCAGCAGAAGAGTTTTCCATACAATCGTCAGGTGTGTTTACCGCGAGAGGCATGGTATTGACCATGTCGCTGGCTTGTTGCGCTGTGTTATGGTCCATGAGGGTCAGAGACTGGTTGACCGGTGGAGAGGCAGTGAGTGTAGGTCTAAAGTGGACATCTGGCAACTTATATATACACAATCTGTTGCCGTGAAATACTCCGCGTAGCATGTCTCCTTGTAAGGTTTTGATCTGATAACCATTTTTGTTGTTAACTTGATGGACAATATAAGGTCCCAGCCATTTGAGTTCGAGTTTTCCACTCCAAGATGTTTCTATTGCATTGTTATATACAAGGACAACGTCGCCGACACTAAATGGTGGTTGCAATAGGTGGTTGCGTTTAGCTAGCACCTTCTTGTCAATGGTTTTCTTCTGATTTTCCTGAGATATCTTAATCGTGGCCGCGGCTTGTTGTTGTAACCTACCTTGTTGTCCCCAATACATTCAAATCAATAAACGGGCTCTTCCCCTTAGTATTGGCTTTGTAATCTACTTGTATCACTATCTGTCAGTTTACTCTCTATCATTTTCATCACAGACTTGGTGTAACTATGAGTGCAAATTTATCTCACACCTGCAACAATACGCTTACTGCGCAACACCACTCTTACTGCGAGTGCAAAAACAACTCACACCAGGTGCAAAACCATTTCGCACTACTGCGGTATCCATTGGATCAAGCACCAATTATATTAGATATAGATAGTGTATTAGAATTAGTATAAATAGACCAATATTTTGTATTGAATAATAAACAGGTCAGTTCTTTAGCTTCTCTTTCTCTTAACTTTAGCTTTTCCCTTTCCTATCAAAAGGATTGTCTTTTGTGGCTCCAGACGTAATAATTCCTGGTTGTTGAACTCCCACACTTCTATTTCATCTCTTTTGCTTAATACTTAGCATTTCACCCACATTTATCACCTTTTATTATACTATCCATCCTATTAAACGGGATTCGTAACTCTTACCCAAACTAACACGTTACAATACAAACATTACGAGTTTGCTGCATAAATGTCTATTTTTTTAAAAAAAGGAACACTAGTGAGAAAAAAACGCGGCTAAATACACTATCTGTCAAAATAATGTAAATCATCAGTAGTAGCCTACAGTCATCGCAGTATTGAGCACTATCGTTGATGAGAACGTTTGCTAAAGACTATGACACACTAACCAGGATGTTGCTACCGAAACAATCAGAGAGGCTTGAGTTGAGAATTAAAGATGTGATCCTTTCTATAATTTTGTGTGACAAGGAAAAAAAACGCGTCCTTCCTTTTCCATTCAGCAAGCATGTCGACATTATAGACGAGATCACCAAACATCCCCGAGGAAATCAACCAAACGTACGAATCGTACGACATTGCAATTACATCCTTGCAATCTTGGGCGTTGAATAACAAGTTCCAGCTTTCAGTAATCAGAGCTGATAAAAAAGGCCCCAAGCGAAGGTGCTAACTTGGCTGTAAGCACTTTGGTCAGCCCCGTGACCAGACACCGAAAGAGCAACAATCGCAGCAGCAACAAACAACAATTGTTATTGACGAGGAAGGTGGCATTCTGAGCAGCACCGAGAAAAAGAAGAAAGGACGTAGCAAGGATTCTCAACGGATTGGTTGCCCTCTCAATCTGATGCTACGACCATTAGACAGTAAGAGCCAGCAATGGCATGTAGTGAGTATCTATGATGGCGGACACAATCACCATATGGCTTTCGAACCTAGTGCCTACCCACTGCACTGCCGCTTGAAAGGAGACGTTCTCCAGACAGTGCGTACCTTAATCCTCAACCATGCCACCAACAGAGTCATCACAGACTTCCTACGCAGCAAAGGCCATTCTGGTACCACCGCAAAGGATATTTCAAACATTCGTCAAACAGTGTTCAACAACGACCCTGATGGTGCAATGTTCAACCTGATCAACCTTCTGCAAGAGAACGATTACCACGTCCGTTTTGACTCGAGACAAGAAGGGGAAAAGATTTTCCTCAATGCGTTGTTCTTTGCCCATGGCGATGCTATAAAGGTTGCAAACCAATTCCCAGAGGTGATTTCCATGGATGCCACCTACCAGACCAATCGCAACAAAATGCCATTTATAAATGTGATTGGTACCGGAAATGTTGGCGTGAAGGCGTTAAGAAGCTTTTGTGTAGCTGGAGGATGGGTCTCGAATGAGACCACAGGGTCGTATATGTGGTTTGCTCAATAGCTAAAGTCAGTTGTTTACTCGTCTTCGACAGCGGTTTATCCAAAAGTGTTCGTCACAGACAGTGAAGCGGCATTAATGACTGCGCTTGATTCCACTTTCCCTGAGTCTACGAAGATACTGTGTAAAATCCATTTGCATAGAAACTTCAAGACGAACCTTCGAAAGCTTTTTGACACTCAAGAACAATGGGACCAGGTAGAAAAGGCGCTCAACCTTTTGATGTCTAGCTCTTACAAGGACAAGTTCGATGATATGATGGAGAAGGTGTCTGATGCAAAACTAGAGCAAAAGGCGCCTACTATGTTTGAAAATGCAATACTGTGTTGTTCAGATCCTGAAAAGGCACGAAGCTACTTGAAAAGGTAGATGATTAGTGTACCTTTGAATGTTGTCCAAATCCTTGTGGGGCTTTATGATTGATCTAGCTCATATACTCTTTCTATAGTAAACTTGCCTTTGGGGAAAAATGGGTTGGTAGTGAGACTGGCCAACTGCGACACCTTGGAAATACGAGTACCAACCGGGCTGAAGGTGCTCACGCCGAAATCAAAAAGTACATCGATCCATCCAGCAGCCTTCATCTTTTTTTCACACATCTGAATATGTGGTATAAAGACAAGGTATATATACATACGTTTTACTGAGAAATGTTCGCATCAATTCATGTTGTTGCATACTTATATTTAAGTATCGGCACGTTTGGGGTTTGCGATAAGCAATACTGTGTAATTGATGATAGCCGCTTTTGTAGAACACCAACTGGAATCAGTAGGTTGATAAGGAAGCATTGAGTGCTAATTCTCATCTTCCTGAGGCATATAAAACGCGACTTGAGCTCCTCAGTCGTAATATATCTCGCTTTGCTTTTGAAGCCATCAAAGACCAGTTGAGATTTTCGAACGTGCTGAAGACGATGCATTGCAAGTGTGCCTTAAAGATCCATTACGGAATACCATGCTGTCATATGTATCCAGCTGACGGGCCCATTCCATTGTCGATTATCCCTCGGCGCTGGCACTTGTTCCCAGAAAAAACAGCATCGAATCTCAATGGTATGGCTATTGCAGAGTTTAAAACAATGGTGAGTATGTTCACCGACGATTTATGAGCCGGTTTTCTTTTCTTCTTTTTTGCAATAGACGAATTTGTCGATGTGCTCTCTGCACCCAACGTTATAGCAGTTGTGGACGACCACGAGAAGCCAACGATCGAAAAGCAAGTCGCCGCTGAGCTTGTCCGGATTGAAAACCTAGGATTCAATCTCCAAAACCAGCAGCAACTAGCAGATCTTTTGCATAAATTGAAGGCAATCAGTAATGATTCGTTCATTGATATGCATGAACTGCAATCTCCACCTGTGCGAACAAAGAAAACAACAGCTCGCACTACTGCAAATAACGCCAGCAGCAGCAGCAGCAGCAGCAACAGCAGTAATAACAACAAACGCTTGCCAATTACACTCGAAATCCAAGATGAGCAAAGCAAAAAAGGCCAAGACGGGCTTCGGAGCTGACGCAGCAGCCACATGGTATGTACCAATCATTCCAGTGTATAATATAAGCTGATTGTGGTGGGCCGTTAAAATAGGGAAGGAAAGGGCAAGGAACTGGCGGTGCCATTGGCTGGTGTCTTAAGCACCGATGTACCCAAGCAGCAAGTCGCCACTATTGTTAGTCCTCAGCCTAATGGTAATTGTGGTTTTCGTGTCTTGGCTTTGGCCTTGAAAAACGATGAGGATATGTGGCCATCCATCAAAGACGATATGTTTGTGTTTTTGCAGCAGAATCGCGCTATTTTCTTACATCTCTTTAGAGAAGATGAACTGGCTTCAGTGTAGCATAAGTTATCCGATCGCTCCTCTCCTTGCAATACTGCTTCATATTTCAATCATTCTTGTGCAATTCTAGCTGCCAATGCGTTCTCAAAAGCCATTGCTTGGTATTCTGTTGAATTCTCAACTCTATACATACCTTTCCTTTCCGCTCCTACAGGTAAACCTATCAGTATGCAGTTGAGCAATTTTCATTTCTACCATGTCTCTTTTAGACCAGCTGCCCAAGTTGTGTACCCTTCTGTCCATCGCTCCCATAATCTCTTTTGTACCCGCCACAACTTCACCAACCATTCCTACTTAATCGACCACAAAAAATAGACCTCTTCCCTTCTCTCTTACTTTAAAAACGTCAAACAACCAGCTCGCAAACAGCAATATTGCTACAAGATGTGTAATCGAATAATGTAAGCAAAAAGAAAACAGTGTCAAAGAAGTGTACTAATTATCAATCAGACCATGAAAACATGATATATTATGTAAACACCCATAATACAATAGTTATGGTCTTGCTGTAATCGTACTATTGCAGCACTTTGATTTATAAGAAAATCGAAGATCACTTTAAAGAAAAACCGGTACTTTACTGATAGTTAACGTGTAGTCTAGTTACCTTGAACAATAACAGATAGACCCATTATAAAGATTTCATTGAAATACATGCCTCCTCTCACCACCCTTCATCGTTTCTCACCACCCGCCATGCCATTTCACCTCCGAAAAGCTGGTCACTACCCGAGGGGTGGTGCAGGTGGGGTGGTGCAAATAGCCGTTCCCGATGACGTTGGTGGAGCGCGCTATAAAGAAAATTTCAGGAGAAAGAACAGTGTCTCCTCTTAATTTTGGCCAATACAGCAGTATAAAAAGCACGACGATAATTGACTGAATGGAGCGAAAGCAATTAAGGCACGGTATAAACACTTTGCTTATTTCTATGAATGGCCAAAAGTAGTGCAGTAAAGGGCAGTAGAATCGAGGGGCATTGCAACGAGTGAGTTTCTGTTCCTTTCTCTGTAGAGCTGCCAATTGCGACATGCCACAAGGTCTTTGACGATTTCACGTACAAACAATTGAAGAATGCACATTTTAATCCACATGGACCTTCAGCAGCAGATTTAGTAGCAGCATAATGGAAAAGAGAACAGTGCCTACAGGTATGTCGTATTGCAGAGGAGACAGTTGCAAACGCGGCTTTTTTTGAAACTTTGTCTGTGTTTTTTGACACAGCACAGCTAACAAGAACGCTACGCCATTTCGAATAGAATTGCCTGAACGATTGATGGAAGGATTGAGGGAAACGGCAACTAATTGCAACGGCCTTGTTGAAGCAAGGATAAGGGTAATATTGACGGGTTTATATTGCTCACTTTTCGTGTGCTATTATGGCTTCTTTTGCGACCGCTGTTTGGCCATTACTATGCTACTACAGGGCACATTCCACACACTGAGCGATTTCTACATGGCGTAATAACTGGGCAGAATGGGACCAACGCGATCAACAGCACAGCATGTAAAGTACGACTGTTTCAAGATGATCAGCTGTGGGTGAAGTTGTTCTGCCTCCTCCACCAAACTCGTTGCTGATCTCTAGACTCCATTGTTACCACAACAAACATTCAACTGCCAATGACAAACGCCGTTGCCATTGCCGCTCATGACGCGACTCTAGTGGAAACTACTCCTGCGACTCAGGCTTGCCGTCAGTCTTTTCCTCAAAGCATCCACACCTAGTCATTATTTCACACAGAAGCTAAAAATCGCGGTTGGATGGAACATGGCATAATTATGGACGTAAGTCAAAGCACAGTACTGTGGAACACGGTTATAAATAGCAGAAGAGCTGGGTTATATGTTGGACTACTGGGTGAAACTGTATACGTATGATCGGGAGTATGATATCATGGTTGGTATGTGGAGAGAGAGTTTTACTTCAATAAAGTTGATGTTTTGTTTATGCCTATATGTTCTATGTGTTGCCATTATATAGAGTGTGTCCTATATCAAAAAGCGAGATATGTCTGCTCGTGTCACCATGATATTTAAATAAACAGTTGTGCCTGAATTCTTTTTCTCTTTGGTAATTCTAAACGCTTTACTTTCCGATCTCGCATTCGCCATTCGCCATTAGCACTGACATGTCCACAAACACATCCGCCATTACTACCACCAACACCGGCACTACTACTGCTGCTGCTACTCTTAGCGAAGCAGTTATTTTTACCTTTAAGTCTGCTGCGCGTCCTATCTCAAGCCACATCGACGAGTATGAAGAGATACTCGCGCAGCAACCCCATACCACTGGTGAATCTTGGATATATCATTCCACCTATTACCCTGCTAAAGCAAAGGGTATGAATAATGAGCGAATGCTTAGAAATATGCCATTGATTTGGTGCTTATTGTGATTCTTTATTTTATGCAACGACATATAGAGCAAAAATTGGCACAAGCAGCTGCTGCTCAGGAAAACAGCGAGCCTATCAACAAAAGAAATAGGCCATCGAAAACCATCAAGACCATCAGATACTTTTGCCATCGTAAAGATTATGCAAAACCGCAGCAAGATGGCGATCTAGAAGGGCGTAATTCTGACGTTGACTCGGATGATGATTCTGATGAAGGGACCGATGATAACATCCGTCGTCGGCCAATCCAGAAAAAGTCTAAGCAAGTTGGATGCGGTGCTAAGCTATCGATCAAGGTAGACGTTGAAGACCCAACAACTGCGCGATTCGAGTACAAAGGTCAGCATACTGGGCATGTACCTGGCACCGTTGAAGATGTTCAGTACCTTCCTGCATCTGACGAGCTCAAGGAAAAGATACTCGTCGAATTGCGTAAAGGGTACAACGTCCGTGAAATCCGCACCCACTTACAACGCACGCTTGGGCATCTGGATGCAAACCAACAGGATTCCTACGTCAATTCTGTCGATGTTTATAATATATTCTATAAGTATCGACAGGAACACTGTACTAAAGACACCGATGACTTTACATCAGTTGAAGAATGGTTGGCTTCCCTTGAAACACAGGGCTACAATGTTTGGATTGACACCAATGGAGCTGGTCTGCGTCTTCTTTCTGCTCAACGGTTCACCTTTGGTTTCTTGGCTCCTTGGCAGAAAGCATTGTTGCTTAGCAGAAGTGGCGGCTTCATATGTCTGGATGCGACTCATGATGTGTCGCGATATGCAAGTGGTGTTCTATACACGATGGTTATCCGCCATCCTCTTGCTGGTCGTGGCGTTCCTGTCACTTATCTCATAACTGATGATAAGTCATCTCTCCCCCTTCTTGGTTGGTTCCGTTTCCTTGCTTCTCTTGGTTTGAATCCTCAGCGTATAACAATCATCGTGATCTTGCTGAGGATAACGCGATTACCGAGGTGTGGCCAACTTGCAGCATTCAACACTGCCTTTGGCACGTTATGCGTGCTTGGACAAAGAATGTCCAAGAAAAGGTGACTGGCGCGAGGGCCAAGAAGAATGTTCGTGAACGGCTGCGTGCTCTTATGTATGAGCCAAACCAAGCGCGCTTTAGAGACCTACTGGAAGACTTTCTTGGTTACACTCGGCGCAAATATCGCCTATTCCACGACTATTTCGACCAGTATTGGATCAGGGCCTTGAATGGAGCAGCTGTTGAACGTTGGGCCAGTTGTTATCAGCCAGAAATATACACCAACATGCAAACGAACAACTACGTCGAATCTTGGCACAACCAATTAAAGACTCTGTATTTGAAGCGCAAGAGGATGCATCGTCTCGATATGCTCGTTCAAATCCTCTCCTCTGACATCGCATTCGACGTTCAGTCCGAAATAAGACGCTTAACAGCAAACGTTGGCCGCATGAGTGCCCATGAGCACTCTTCACGAAAAGAGGAAATTAAGGCTGAGAAGAAACGGAAGATGATTGCGCGAATGGTAACTACAGTGCTGCCAGAAGCGCAATACATTGTTGCATCGTTCACAGGCAACAATTTTACATACAATGTAAGAAAACCATACTAGTAATCTCCTGTACGTTATTTCTCACATAGTGTTCTATATTTTCTAATGTAGGTCACTGCTAATAATGGCCAGGTGATCACCTGTACGTGTCCATAATTCTCCTTGACTTTGTTCCCTTGTAAGCACATGTTTTTGGTAGAGCATCATGTCGGAAGTCTTACTGTGCGTCCTTCCTGGGAGACCCAGCAACAGTGGGCTCAACAGACTGTAACAACACCATCATCAACAGCAACTGCACAAGAAGGTCAAGAACAACAAGACCAAGATAAAGTACAGCAATTAGGGGGCAGGTCTATTTGCACACCCCCTCATGCACACCCCCAGTCACACCCAGGTAGGATTTCTGTTACACACACCCCGCTGACATTTCTTTCGTACACACCCCCTCACACCCTTTTGACTGAAAAGAATTGGCAGAATGCATAAAGAAAATTGATACAGGATTCGTCTATTAGTCTAAGTATAAGGTGTTGGCAAAAAGAATAAAAAAAGAGAAAGTGACAGGGAAAGTAAGAAAGGTAGCGAAAAAGTAAGAGGATCAAGTGTCAAATAGCTGATTAATTATTTCGGTTACAGGTGGTTAAGTCTTCGCCCTCAGAATCAGATGCGTGAATGGGATGCACTTCTTCGTCATTGGGAATCGTGAAATCGGGAAACGGTCGAATAGACCGTTCAAAAGAATCTTCAAAAAGGGGATACCAAGGATCATCGCGAATGCTTTTGTGTGGTCCACGACCCTCAGGGAATATTTCAGGCCACTGGATAGCTGCGTCGTTTTTGGTCATAACGAGTATGAAGTGGTTTCCAATAAGCTGTAGGACGATTGGGTGGGTGCGCTTGGCGTGTACTGGGTTGTTCGTTAAAGGGAAGAAAATGTGCGATTGTGCGCCATCTATAACAATTGGCGTTTCGAACGTATCAGCGGCAACTTGACTGCATTCAGGCGAGACGAACCATTCACTTGAATATGGATCGAGTACTTTTAGTAAACGACCCTTGTCATAGTATTGGTAAAGCGTATGGCGTTGGAGAGGTACTGATCGAGCATCTTGGTCTTGACATCGACGTATCGCTCCTCTGTGTTATACAGCTCAACAGCTAAGGCCCGAAAGCCACAGTTACCGTCTGGCATGGGATTATGCACCAATTCAACAGCTGGTGGAGGATCCATTTGCAAACAAGGTTGATGTTAGGTACAAAGCGAATTTTTGGAGGAGGAGGGATGGTGAGTGCCATGTTGTTTGCTTCATTTGCTATTGTTGGCTCCATCTTTCCGTTCCTATAGATATTAAAAATTTAAGTAAAGAATTGGCTATACATCTTAATGCATAAAACTTTACCATATTGCTGCAGCATCACGACCAATGCCGGTGTTTGCTTTCTTTCGGCTTTGAGAGTCTTGATGCTCTAAAGCGATCAGCTCACGCTTGTTGCTGCTGTTTTGTGGTTTTTGGGTGCTTTTGGGGATTGATTTTGGCTGCTGAAGCTGCTCAACGTCGATGAACATATCATCATTGATAGATTGTAGGTGCGCGAGGAGAGTTGCACGTTGTTGATTATCTGGAAAGCGGTGTACAAGATTGTTGAGGCGTGTGAGCTCTCCTTCGATTTGCGATTCCAGGCTTGGGGCTGTAAATGAACCAGTCATCGCCAAAATGTTGCTATTGCTATTGCTATTGCTATTGCTTGTTGTGTTTGGTTCTCCTAATAACAACAAAAATCAGATACTGTACGTTACAAATATAACAGCTTTTACATAACAGCCATGGCTACCTTGAGATGCCGTTTTCTCAGGATAAAGGTGCCAGCGTCTGGGAATTAAGCTTAAGGGGATTTCACCCTGTGATGGAAGCACATGGCAGCACGGAATATCATAATGATACTTGATTGCACATCGGCAGTGATCAGTCTTTTAACGGATTATTGACGGTTAGCTCGTCACGGATGGCATAGAAAGCGAACTTGGAAATTTTACGTTCCAAAGCTGCCAAACGCTGCTTTTGCTGTGGTGGGATGTGCGAGTTTCCGCCAAAACTTTCCTTGTCGATCTGGCGCTTCCAATTCAAGTTCTAATATAAGGAAGAAAGCATGTAAGAGCCGCGTCACTAACGGATCAATATAATTACTATAAGAGATAAACCTTCAATCGATAAAACTAGTCAATTTGCATAAAGGCAGTTAGGAGATTGCCACTTGAGGACATGATTGCCTTTTTCATGTTGGCATGCGTCCCTTCGACTCTATTTGTGCTGTCATTTCCGAAATGCTTTACATAAGTGAGGCGATTGCCTACCCACTTGTCTTTTGAAGCAAGCTTTCTGTATACCGAAAAAACATGTTTAAGTCCAAGTATCATGTGGTCAAAAAATCCGTGCTTATTCAATTTTACACACCTTTGCAAATAGTCCATGACAACGTCGGGTCTTTTTGCTTTTTGAGCAGCCTCCTCATACATCTTCATTGCCTTTTCTTCGAGCTTCTCGTTCGAAATTGTGGATCGCATATCGTTGAACTTGTCTTGATACTCACTAGCCATTAAAAAATTGATAGCTTTCTCGAGTTCCTCGTAATGGTCCTTGACATCAAAAAGCTTGCGTAGGTTGACCCTGAAGTTGCGTCGTATATGGATCTTGCATAGGATCTTCTTCGCCGTTGGAAAAACGCGGTCGAGAGCACCGGTCAAAGCAGATTCGCTGTCTGTTACAAACACACCAGGGGACGAAACCTGATCAAGTGGCCAAACGACAGTTTGAAGCTTGCGAATCACCCAATCGTAGCTGTCGTTGTTTTCCTCTGATACCCAGCAGCCAGCAATGCAGAAAGTCATCAATTGGGGATATCCAATGTTGCCAGTTCCAACAATGTTGATAAATGGCAACCGGTGCTTGTTTGTCTTGTAAGTGGCGTCCAAGGTAACAACGTCCGGGAATTGGCGAGCGAGTGCGATTGCCAATTTGTGCGCAAAGAAGAGAGACTGCAAAAAGCGTTTGTCGCCTTCTTGTTTTGCTTTCCATTGGACTTCGTACTCGTTTTCTTGAAGCTTTTTGATCAGCTGAAACATTGCATGATCTGGGTCGTTGTTGAAGATGCGCTGACGAAGATTGGTGATGTCCTTAGGATGAGCAATCTTGTTCTTGCTGGCAAGATAAGACAATACAGCTTTGTTGGTTGCATGCGCTTGTACCATCTTCATAACGACCTCCTCATCGTGATCGAGTCTACGGAGCATTGGGTATGACGAAAGCTCGTTTGCCAACTCATGGTTATGACCGCCATCATAGAAAGAGACTATGTGCCATTGGTTGCTGGTCTGGTTCAAAGGACGAAGGATCATTTCGAATTTGCAACCAAACCGCTGAGAGTCCCTTTGACGAGTGTCGATCTTTTTATCCTTGGATGATGCAATGGCCGTGCCCTCGTCATCTACAATAACCATTTGTCTTGTCGTGGTCTTCTGCTCTTCACATACGCCCTTGTTGACTGGCTCACCATAATGCTTGCAAGCAATCTGGAGCTTCCTCTTATTTCCCATCTTATTACTTCTAATAGTACGCAACGAGACACCATTTTCTTTGCCCCATGCATAGCAGGCAGTCTTTGCGGCATCGAATCCATCCCATGTAGTGTTAAGTTCTTCTGGTATGGAGGTCATTGTTTTTGACATTGCGTTTAATGAGCAGTAATGAGGTAGGTAGAAATTTTAATAAATAAAAGCGCGTTTGTATCACATCAAATGTTCCTGGAATTTTACATAATAAAACTGTCCGTCCAATGTATACCCATATACAATGATGATAGGCAAAGAGGTATCTCATATATATTTCTATTTAAGCATATACTTTATGCTGGATCATTTCTTTATTGCAAGTTCGCATAGCTTCAGGAATAAGCTGCATTACTGTAACTTTAATAAAGGAGTGCATGACCAAAATATTTTGCACAATTTTCAGTCAAAAGGGTGTTAGGGGGTGTGCACGAAAGAAATGTCAGCGGGGTGTGTGTAACAGAAATCCTACCTGGGTGTGACTGGGGGTGTGCATGAGGGGGTATGCAAATAGACCTGCCCGCAATTAGAGCAGGTTGTTTTAGCGCTCAACAAAGAGATCGTAGCTTCTAGACGACTCGTTTCTAAATCGATCATGCGTCCTGGCAAAGACGATGTTCTTGACGCCATAATAGAGGACGCTAAACAGATGAAACATAGCTACTCTACCTTCAACCAACGCATGGCCGACGCCCTCACTCTCCCTCCCAATTCCAACTTCCAACGCCAGAACCATTAACGTCATTTCATTATCCTTTTCTTTCTTTATTCTGTATACATATCAATATCAGTCCTATATCTCTTATTTCTCCTACTGTGCTTTGACTTACGTCCATAATTATGCCATGTTCCATCCAACCGCGATTTTTAGCTTCTGTGTGAAATAATGACTAGGTGTGGATGCTTTGAGGAAAAGACTGACGGCAAGCCTGAGTCGCAGGAGTAGTTTCCACTAGAGTCGCGTCATGAGCGGCAATGGCAACGGCGTTTGTCATTGGCAGTTGAATGTTTGTTGTGGTAACAATAGAGTCTAGAGATCAGCAACGAGTTTGGTGGAGGAGGCAGAACAACTTCACCCACAGCTGATCATCTTGAAACAGTCGTACTTTACATGCTGTGCTGTTGATCGCGTTGGTCCCATTCTGCCCAGTTATTACGCCATGTAGAAATCGCTCAGTGTGTGGAATGTGCCCTGTAGTAGCATAGTAATGGCCAAACAGCGGTCGCAAAAGAAGCCATAATAGCACACGAAAAGTGAGCAATATAAACCCGTCAATATTACCCTTATCCTTGCTTCAACAAGGCCGTTGCAATTAGTTGCCGTTTCCCTCAATCCTTCCATCAATCGTTCAGGCAATTCTATTCGAAATGGCGTAGCGTTCTTGTTAGCTGTGCTGTGTCAAAAACACAGACAAAGTTTCAAAAAAAGCCGCGTTTGCAACTGTCTCCTCTGCAATACGACATACCTGTAGGCACTGTTCTCTTTTCCATTATGCTGCTACTAAATCTGCTGCTGAAGGTCCATGTGGATTAAGATGTGCATTCTTCAATTGTTTGTACGTGAAATCGTCAAAGACCTTGTGGCATGTCGCAATTGGCAGCTCTACAGAGAAAGGAACAGAAACTCACTCGTTGCAATGCCCCTCGATTCTACTGCCCTTTACTGCACTACTTTTGGCCATTCATAGAAATAAGCAAAGTGTTTATACTGTGCCTTAATTGCTTTCGCTCCATTCAGTCAATTATCGTCGTGCTTTTTATACTGCTGTATTGGCCAAAACTAAGAGGAGACACTGTTCTTTCTCCTGAAATTTTCTTTATAGCGCGCTCCACCAACGTCATCGACTCTCTGACTTTCAAAAGAGATTTAAATTGTGGGGGGGAGGCAGCTCTTATATTGGTGGCAATATAAGTAAATTGGTGGTTACTCCATCTTCTGCGGGTAATTGTCAGAGTAACGGGTTTTACCTTGAAATATAATAAAGCCAAATTTTTGTATGTATAAATGATTGTCGATGTACAGAATAAGTCGTCAATGTAGAGGATATAAAATGAAGTAAACAGCTCAGGAGGTACAACGATGCGGCAATTTGTGATGATGGCTGAAACGTTATATGTTACAATTACTTATTGGTGTTCATCAGGCTCAGGCTTGGCTCATCTTCGTTTTTTACTAGTTGATTCAGAAGCGACAGAAGTTGGCGATGTGGATGGGGTTGACGATGCTGCCTTGTTTGATGTGGATAGTGCTTCTGGTATGAAACATGGTGGCAGTGGGGAGACTTGACTTACAAAATCGGCCAAGCTTGCTTCTGTTTGACAGAACTGCTTCCATGTATCATCGATGATACACTTGCCAATTATCGCAAGTTGTAAGAGCGGGACAATCGTTGTGGCGTAATCGCTGCTGCTAGATGGGAAGGGCACGTCTTTGATACGACGTATGCGTGTAACAAAGCCTCTGGGGGCGTCGACATCGAGCAGAGAGATTGAGTCACCTGATGATTTGAGTTATGCAAGATGCATTTAGTACACGCCTTAAATACATGTGGGTTTGAATGGCCATGGCTAAGAACAGCTAACCCTGTCCGGTATTAGACGTAAATGCCGTAACGTCTTCTTATCATTCATTAAGTATATAAACTTACCGTTGATATTATAGCCGAGGACGTGAATCTTGCGCAAACTCGCCCGTTTTCGTTCAGCTACCGCAATGATCATGTCTTTGAGCACTGGTGGCATCTTGATCATGCTATCTTTATATTCTTTCGTTGCGTCGACCTTTCCTCCAATTTCCAAGCAGCCGAGCTCGATGTTGCTAATCTTGTATATGATGTCTGTACGGCTGCCCATCTTTTTGTTCGCTATGGGCTCGATTGCGGATAGTTTTCGCTTGGTGTTTCTAGCCGTTGCGTTGGCCTCGCTAGAAATCTCTTTGCTTTTTGAAAATTATGTTGGACTAGATGCTTTTAAGTATTGCCTAATATCGACACAGCAACTTACCCGAGTGCCTTTACTTCAGTGCGGTCGAAAACTGTGTTGACAAAGCCCCACAAGTAGTATAGTTTATCGCTTTCTAAAAGCGAGCTTGTCGTTTCTGATGTTGAATCAATAAAATACTTTGCTGTATTCATCACACTCAGCGCCAACCATGCTAGCAGCGGTTCAGTAACGATGTTGTAGTCGAGTTTTCTCGCAAAGTTGTATGCGTCGACTGCACTTGTCTATACATATACACAGTTGGTTCTGTATTAACAAGAAATAAAAATGTTTCCAGCCTCCAATGACATCGTATTACCATCTTCCCGAGTTCGCTCAATTGTAATGCCAATTCTTGAGGGATTTCCCGAAGAATAGGATCACCAAATGATCGCATCTCATCAAGTTCTTCTTTGCTGAAAACGTCCTCCCAATGTTTATCCGCAAGATCGATAATCAGCGATTGGCAGGGGCTACATACATGATATATTAGACGTAATTATGTAGGCCTTTCCTTCCACATATCTTAGCGATAAATACTTACTGGTAGAACTGGTACTTGACAGCAAAACCATGGATCTTTTCTTCTACAGAATTTGGCTGTTCACCCGTTTCTTTCGCCCTAGCTTTTGTGGCCTCCAAAACCCAGTATTCTCTTTTGTCCAAATCAACCAGCATATTCTCAACCTTCTTTTTGTCGCTATCTGACAAGAGGATTCTGTGATGCTGCGAGGACGACGCAGTTTTTTTGAAACTGGTTGTTGTGCTGGCTGAAGTTTCGGATGTTTTAAATGCCAGCTTGCGATCGATACGTGTTTGTATCGTTTTCCAATTGATTTTTTTCGAGGACTTCATAAGAATTGTCACGAAGATGTTGTTAGAGAATCTAACCTACTAGTTTCTTTACCTTTTCTTCTTACTCACCAAGGTTAATTCAATGATTTTGCGCAAAGTAGCACGTTGTTCGTCCAGTCACTTTTATATTGCGATTGCGACTCGGAGTATGTGTCTACAATAAGATCTTCTAACTCGTCAATGATCTCTTGGAGATCAATTTGTTCACGCGTCGCTAGATCGCGTAGTACCGGGACAATGGCTAAATAGGATCGTCGGATCACGCCTTTATATGTTAATAACGTATCCAGACACGTAAAAATTGACGCTGTATTAGATACGCAGCTGCCTACAAGAGAAACTAACCGTCTTTGTAGTTGTCATTGAGATTAACCATAGCAACAGGCTGGTAGTTAGGAGGCAATTTCGTTGCTAGGAAACTGAAAGATTTTTGCTTTGGCCGAAGAACACTGCACGTAGTGTCGTTTCTTCCTTTCAATGCACAAAACGCAAAATTTAGAATCCGAACAATCAGTCCCTTAGTGTTCTGTGTTTCACAAGTATCGATTTTCAGGCGCTGCCAATATAAAAGTTTTAGAGATCTCAATATAGTTTTTATACATTGAGTGTAATTTTTTGCTTGACTAGTGTAGATATCAGGAATTCGATCCAAAAACAAAGTCATCAACAATGAAAAGATGTATGTAAGCGTCGAAAGATTTTTATTTGGACTATAGAATACATGCTAAAATGTTGTTGGAAATGACGAATCCGGTCATAAAAGTTTGCATAGCAATTTTTTTAGCAGTTTGCTGGATCACGTTGGTCAGCACCTTGTCTTACAAACTAAGAGGAACAGCCATCCGTTCACGAGTCCTACACAATCGTTTAGTTACATGAAAAATTCATAGCACCCCATCTTACATAATATATAGTAGTTATACCTTTTCTATGAGAATCATCTTCATCAATTGTTACGTATTCTTGGTATTGTTTTGTCGCTTCATAGCACTCCAAACATGGATTCAACCACAGCCTTGTGCCGGCCAGAAACCAAAACACTGTATCCGACATCATTGCTTGTACTATCTGACGAAGCAACACAGCATATACAATTACTCCTTGCTTTGCGTGTTCGTATACTTGATTTGCCAACCGTACCAAGTGCTTATCTATATTTTGTGTTATCCATCCAGACACGTAATGTTCAATCATACCCCAACATTAGTAAACTTATCTGTACGTGGCTCATAATAAAACATGATATTTCTATTGATCACTACAAGAGCGGTTATGTACTAGATTGATAAGATACTATGTAGTCAGCTACAGCAAAGATTACAATTTTAAACAAATTGTTTCCTGCGTTTGAACTTTATTAAAATGGGAGTTCTGTGTGGAACAAGTAAGCGGTTCGATCTCTATGGCCGTCAACAGTACATCATTTATATGGAGAAATAATAAAAAAGAGCGAAGCGCCACCCATGTTGAGAGGGACATCTCCCTAGTAAAGCCCAGGAAGGCCATCAAGTGACCGCAACAAGAAAAACCGAGCGAAGCATCACCCATGAGAGGGACATCTCCCCAGTAAAGCCCGGGAAGGCCATCGGATGAACGCATTCTTTAAAAGGACAAAAAAGTAAGAACTTCAACGCACTGTCCACCCGTGAGAGGGACATCTCCCTAGTAAAGCCCAGGAAGGCCATCTGATGAACCAGCACTCGGACGCAAGCATCCTATGAAGAAAAAGATTATGAGATACGGGGAATAGTGTTGTCGCAAGCACAGTTTTCTATTTGTGCAAAAGCTCAATCACAGTCACGAAGCTACATGTTGTCACAGTGGAGTCAAATATGGGGCGGGGATGTGCTGATGTGCTGCGCAATGAAAATGAATTGAGTGCACCCACTAGTCACTGCCCGGCCCGGATTTTAGTTGGACCCCACCTCCCACCGAACCATTTCGTACACCCCCCCTTCATCGAACCAATTCTTGCACACCACTTCATCCACATTCCTCAATCACAGATCGAATTGAAGCAATATTTAACACAAGATTGAAGAACGAACCGTTAGCATCGTACCAAGTAACATAAAATGAGTAGCTATAAACTAAATGTATGCATTTGCCTTTTCAACGTAAATTGTCAGAAAGGAGACACACACACGCACAATGAAATATAGCACTGGCAACTGCTACTTGCTAGTAAAGAAGAGTGTCCTAGATGCATGGACAGAATATGCGAGTAATATGCTAATGATGAACTGAAAAACGATGTAGAACAGAAAGGGAGGCCAAGAGGATTATTAAACAAACAAAAGAAAATAAACTTTTGATTTGACACGTCTTACATAATGCATATGAAACTGAGATTGCATTAATGCAAAATCCTTTAAATAGCAGTATATTTATTTACATACATAGTCCGTATTTACATAGTCCATAGACACATTGACCTGTACGTTATCGTGGTCTTTCGCATCATCTTTAATACTACATGGTACTCAGGAAGTGAAAATGGAAATTGGAGCGTATCTTAAAAAATTGCTTCTTTTACTTCCCATAAACAAACAAGCATATTTCTCTAATGTCTCAACTCATTTCCATCGCAATGTCGAAAACAACAAGCGCAATTTCTGAAGAACTTCGAGTCACTTATGACGACTTTGACTCTGCCAAGCAAGCTTGCGTCGACTGGGCGATAAAGAACAAGGTTTCCCTCCGTACCTTGAAAAGTACGCGTACAGGAGAGAAAAGAGTCCTCCGTCTTGTTTGCAAGCACTTTGGACAACCCACCAATCAAGAGGTGTATGACGATGGCAAAACTACGACAGTAGAAACCATCTTGGCGAACGACAAACGTGATGTCATTCGATCCAACAGCAAGGACAGCAAGAAACGGCGCGAGAAATACTCTCAGCGAATTGGATGCGAGTTTGAGATCAAGCTGTGGCCATTGAGCATGGCCAGCAATGGCACGTTGTCTCCTTTTACGATGGTGATCACAATTATGAGATTGCAAAGGAGCTCTCGTCGTATCCAATGCCTCGTCAGCTCGATGGGAAGCAGCACGAAATTGTTTTTAGCATGATCAAAGGGCACGCCAGTAATACTGTAATTGTGTCATACCTTGCTGCCAACAATACGGTTGTCGACCCCAAGGATATCACGAATATGCGACAGATGGTGTTCAACAACGATCCTGATCATACCATGTTTAAGCTTATCAGCAAGCTATAGGGCAAGGACTACGTTGTTGAATGGGAGTCCAAGCAAGATGGGGGAAATGGGTTCTTGCACTCTCTCTTTTTTGCTCATCATTCAGCAATATTACTTGCTCGCCAATTCCCTTGAACCATCATCATGGATGCCATGTACAAGACAAACAGACATTGGCTCCCTTTTTTTAATTTCGTCGGTACAGGCAATGTTGGTTATCCAGAGTTGAAAACTTTCTGTATTGCTGATGGATGGCTGTCTGAAGAAACGAATGACAGCTACGATTAGTTTGTCAAAAAGCTTGAGCAAGTTGTTTGACCAGCCGAGCAGCTAGTGTCCCCAAAAGTCTTTGTGACCGACAGCAAACCCGCGTTGATGAAAGCCTTGGACCATGTCTTTCCCAGCTCTAAAAAATTGCTCTGCACTAACCACATCAGACGCAATTTTCAAGTCAAGCTCCAAAAGGTTTTTGAAGTTAAAGAGGACTTTGAGGCGCTCCTGAAAGCCATCAACTACCTAATGGCTGACGAATATGATGATAAGTTCTAGAACAAGTAGTTGGTTCCAGATGAGGATTTTGAACAAAAGGCGATCGGCATGTACAATGAGGCTGCAAGGAAAGCCAAAAAGCCGGAAGAAGTGAAAGCATACCTCGAGAGGTAACTATATATTGGATTCTTATTAGAGATCGTTTGCTTGGACACTATGCTTATGTGTATACTTTCGCTTGCAGTAAGCTTTCCAATAAAGAAAAGTGAGTCGGCCGATACCTCGCAGATGTCAAGTGTAACAGTGTCGGCCCAGATACTTACAATCGGGAACGTGAATGGGTAGACAGTGTGGATCAATGAATAAGGTGAGACTCGGATATATCAAAGGATAAAACGATAGGGATCCATATAACTCAGGATCCCGTCTTTATATATACGTCGAGTAATAAGGGGCTAGCTATCGTCTAAGTATTGATCTACATCATAACTTCTATCTAGAATATCCACGCCTATTACTCCATATTCAACCATGCGGTTGACCGCAAGTCATCCTATCGTCTGAACCATGCGTTGTCGATCGTCAACCATGCAGGTTGGATATCGTCGTAACGGTATGCACCGTTACATCCTCCCCCATCTACTTCAAGAGGTCAACTCGAAGTAAAACGTCAGGTGCTCGCCGTCGATCCGTCGACTCGTCCAAAGTAATTCTTGATTTGCGTCGTTTCAATCACCGTCCTTTGTAGCTCGTTAATGTCTGTGCGTCGTTCTGCGAGTAGTATGCACCGTCCTTATGCGCGTCCAAGTGGGTTCGTATGCTGGAACTCTTCTACAGCAGTGACGGATCGTTTTGTGCGTCGACTGGATAGAAATCGTCCCGGTCTAGGGTTCTCCCCCCGCAAATTAAAACGTCGCGAGAGATCCCAAAAGGTGGTCGTCGTGGTGAAATAGACCCAGAGGAACTATAAAAAAATTAACACCACAACCCATTGCACATACAGTTACCTGTTTCGTCTGTGTTTGGGCGGACGACCACGGCGTCGAGGAAGTAAATTCGTATCCGAAGCTTTTGATGGCGTCGCTTCCTTGGATTGTTTGAAGTCTTGAAGAGCCTCGGGCGCATTGGAAAGGTGTTCGGCGGGTTCCCACGTCGCCTCGTGTAAGGGATAACCTTTCCACTTAACCAAATATTGTAGCTTGTTTCGTCGCTTGCGCTCGTCGAGAATGGCTTCAACTTCCCATTCGTCTTCGTCGTCAGAAACATTGGTGATCACTGGTGGTGGCCGTTCTGGCTTGCGTCCCACATCGTCAGGTTCCAAATATTTCTTGAGGGCGCTCACATGGAAAACGTTGTGAGCCCTGATCGAAGCCGGCAAATCAAGCTTGTATGCCACGGATCCAATACGTTCAAGGATTTTGTAAGGACCCGCCCACCGTGGAAGTAACTTTCTGGCGGGAGCGTTGGAATAAACATCAAGATTCAAGTGGGTCGTCTTGACTAATACGTCGTCATCCACGTCGAATTCCAGATTACGTCGCTTCATATTGGCATACTTGGCTTGGCGATCCGTTGCTTCCTTGATTGCCTCAGTGACTTGAAGACGGATAGACTCCAAACGTGTAGCGAGAACGTCTGCTGAATCAACATCGGAGGAGGCAGATCCCGTGGTCAAAGCGAGTGACACCTGTCGTCCCAAGTCAGCGTAAAAGGGTGTTACCCCTGTAGAAGCGTGCTTGGCGTCGTTGTAGGTGTGCTCGAGGACCGGCAGCCATTCGTCCCAATCCGATTGATTATATGCAACGTAATGACAAAGCATATCTTCAAGCGTTCGATTCGTGCGTTCCGTCTGTCCGTCTGATTCTGGGTGTAGACTACTGGACAAATTTCTTTGTACCCCAAGCATCGTCGTCAAGGCCTTCCAAAATCTAGAAGTAAAGCGGACATCTCGATCCGAGACTACGTCTGATGGTAAGTCGTGCTGTCGGTATATCTCACGCGAAAACAGATGAGCAAAATCCTCTGCTGTATCAGTCGTCTTGCATGGAGCAAAATGTGCGCGCTTTGAAAACCGATTCACAAAAACGGCAATTGCATCGAACTTATGTAGCGTCTTCGGCAAGTGTGTGATAAAATTAACCGAAATCGAGGTCCATCGTCCAGAAGCTAGTTGCAATGGCTGCAACAAGCCTGCTTTTTTGGCATTTGGTAACTTGGTACGCTGGCACATGTCACACGTCGCAATATAACGTCGCACTGTTTTGTTCATATGTGGCCAGTAGTAAGTTCGTCCAAGTCGTTCGACCGTTGCATCGATGCCGCGATGACCGGCGATTGGTGCGTCGTGTGCGTCATGCAAGAGGGTGTTGAGAAGCGTTGGCATGCGCGGCACACAGATTTGGCGTCGTCCATCTTTTTTGCGATAGATGATGCCGTCGGCTAGTTCGAACTCTTCGTCGTCGTCGTTCGTCCGAAGCCGAGTCAAAACGTCTGCCCAAAAAGAATCGTCCTTGTAGTGCTGAGTGCATTCCTTGCCAAGCGTCTCCCCCCTCACTGTGAGGACCACAGCACAAAGTTCCATTGAGACGTCGGGGTGAGAAGGAGCGTTGGGCGGTCGTTTTGATAGAGCGTCTGCACCAGTATTCTGTTCTCGAGGAATATGATGCACGTCAAACTGATAGGCCATCAGCTTTTCCAACAAGCGGATCTGACGCTTGGAGAGATTCTTGTTGTTGGCGTGTAACGTCGAGATGGCGCGGCTGTCCGTGAACACTGTGAACTTTTGACCATCCAGATGATGTCGCCATTGTTCTAAACAGTACGACACTGACAAAAGTTCTTGTTCGTGTACCGGGTAATTCATCTCTGCGCCCTTCAACGTCCTCGAAGCATAAGCAACCGGATGCAATAAACCGTCGTCCTGCTCCTGTGAGAGGATACCACCAATTGACACCGTTGATGAAGCGTCCGTGTGTACGTAAAAATGGCGGTCGGGATCCGGGATTGCAAGCACCGGCGCGGAACATAAATGTCGCTTGAGTTCCTGAATGGATTTTTCACAAGCATCATCCCACTCCCAAGGAACGTCCTTACGCAGTAAGCG